AGNTTTTTTACTTTTTATTCATTGCGCAGGCCGAAATATGCGCAAATATGTGTGTGTGTTTGCGTGTGTGTGTGTGTGTATGTGTGTTTGTGTGTGCATATTTTTGTAGATAGACACATATAAGTTATAAATAGATTAAAACTACAAACCAATGAAGGATGTGTGTAGATATGTAGATATGCAGGGTGTTGTAAAGTTATTAATATTTCAATTGAGATTTGATTTTGATTGTTACATGTTGAAAGTATTTTTTTTCAAATTTGTATGCACATGTTTGTATTTGTGTAAAATTATAAATACACATACGCGCACATTTGCATGAATGTTTGTGTACACACTTGTGCACACGTAAGCGTACACGCCTCTGTGGTTATACACTCTCGTTTCACACGGTTGATTCTTCGGCCATGTTTACGTTTGAGTTAAAAGGTATTGCTTTTGTTTTGGGCTGATCGGCTTCGCGATACAATGTGATGTGATAGTGATGGAGATGACGAAAATGGTGATGGAGTGATGGAGATGAAGATAGTGAGGGAGTGATGAAGATGAAGATAATGATAGAGTGATGGAGATGGTGATGGAATGATGAAGATGATGATGGAATGATGAGATGACACAGATGTTGATGATGGGATTTGGTGATGAAGAGATTTTGAGTATTTTATTTATATTTTTCATGGTAAATAGATTAGTGATAATCAGATAGTGTTTTTGAAGAGATAAAAATTGATTAAACAATTAACTTAAAAAAATGTTGTTATAAAAATGATTCACGCTAATGAATAATTCATAATGATGGTAATATAGTTTGCGAAGTGAATTACTTAAAATGGTTCGGTTTGTGAATTGCTTAAGCTTACTGACTAAACCACTGTTGCATTCTCAATTTAAAATTACATTTCATTTCACGACATACTAGCGAGGGTGACGTCACTTGCCGGTTAGAAAAAAAACGAGCTGACGATGACTTAAGAACGAATAACCGACACACATGCAATAATTGATGTCAACATGAACATGACTGTGGAGCTGATGTTACAAGGATGAGAGATACTTTAGAGACGACGATGGAAATGCCGATGTAAAATATAAAAAAACAGGTTAAAATAAGGACGGTGACGAGGACAACTTAACAGTATGATAAAAAAAATGACGACCGCGAAATGATTAGGCGATTAAAAAAATGATTGTAACATCGAAAAACATGAACATGAAGGATTAAAAAGACATCAACAAAACATCGACAGTAAAACTAACAACACTTTCACAAACATCAACAGAGAAAATATAAATAACAAAAACGAGCACGTAAACAAGAAGACAACAACATCAAGAACTAGATAGGAACGAAAATTAAACATCGAAAACGAAAAAACAACAACATAGAAAAAACAACAACAACATCACCACCACTAACAACAACAACAACATTGCCGTTGCATCGGTGCGAGTATTACCGAAATTGATTGCAAGCATGATGTTGTTTGAGCGCCTCTTATTAAATTTTCCTCCTTTTTTCGTTGCTTAAATTTTTTACGTTCATTCGGCGATATAAATTGAACACCGCAGCCTTCGCCGTTACGTTGTCACTACGTCATCGTGACGTCACTGAATACAATGCACCGCTATAAAAAATATAAATCGATGAGACAACACTTTTTTTTCACTGGTTTATTTTTACATTTTTTGGCGCAAAATTGCGAAATTCCTCTGAAATAAATTTCATGCAATAAGAGGCATGGGAGTCGTAAAGTTTTTGAATTCTATCAGAATTGTGAAAGATATGAAATTATGATGTGTAATGTTTATATTGCTTACTCGCTTTTTCTGGTACTTTGGCGATTCAAGTGTCTTTTTGTTTTAAGTTTTTTGAGGTGAATTTTCAGAACCCAAAAAAACTTTTTTTGTAATTTTTGTAGTTGAGATTTTGCAAAAAATTATTCAAAGTGCGTTCCTGGCTAAATTTTTCAATCGATGAAGAAAAATTTTTTTCAGAAAAATAAGCGAGAAGAAAATTGACGAAAAAAGTCAAAATAGGAAAAAAAATAAAAAAAGCGTTGACGTTGGTTCATGAAAAAGAAATAAAATTGAAATCCTCAGCTGTTGCGGTCATTAGATAGATCCAATAACATGACCATGTCGTTTATGTTTTGCATGTCTACATACAAACATCCTTCCAAGTTTTCTTCATATGCAAGAAGGCAAATAGGTATATTTGTTTGTGTTTATATATTATTGTTGTTATGTTTGTTTGTTTGTATGCATTTGTGTTTGTGTATTGTTATTTTGTATGTTTGTTTGTTCGCGTTTGTGTTCGTACGTTGTAGTTTTGTAAGCGCGTTTGTATGCGTTTGTATTTGTATGTTGTGGTTTTGTATGTTTGAATAGGTTTGTGAAAAGTTCTTTGTACGCATATATCAATCTGCTTTTTTACAATTTTCTTTGTATGTTTGTACATGCACGTGTGGTTTGTATGTAAGCGCTTGTTGTTTTGTCCATAGTGTTTTTTTTTACGTATATGAATGTTGTTAGGCTCTTGATACCGCAATTCGTATTCATACAAAACTTGTTTAGCCTTCGAGGCAGTATTGTTTCGTGCAAGTACAAACATGTCGTTAGTTGCAAACATGCATGTCGATTGGTCGGTTGGCTGTTTTAGCTGGTTGGCTTATTGATTGGTTGGTTGGTTGAATGGTTAGTTAGATGGTTGGTTGGTTGAATGGTTGGCTGGTTGATTGAATGGTTGACTGGTTGGTTGGCTGGTTGGTTGGCTGGTTGGTTGATTGGTTAGATGGTTGGATGTTTAGCTGGTTGGTTAGTTGACTGAATGGTTGGTTAGCTAGTTGGTTGTTTGGTTGGTTAATTAGTTGGCTAGTTGCTTGAATGTTTAATGTTTTATGCAGAGATAGATTTTTTCAACCAAATAAAACAATTGCTTCTTTTTTTTTACCGTGTGCAATGTTTCAAGTTGCAAACACTTAAGTTGGTTTTGTTGTGTACAGTGTAAGGGTTTGCATTGTTTACCATTGTGCTTATGAGTGCTTAGAACAAATTTTATTTCTTTAAAATTCACAAAAAATAATTAGAAAACTTCCTTAGTAAAATGTAATAAATTTCAACCAACTTAATAATGTGATGATTTAATAATTCTATTTTTTTATAAAAATCATAATAAATTATGAATAATAAATTAATTAAAAAACAAACATCACAAAAATTTTTTTAATATAAACATGCTTTTTTTGCACAGGCGTTTGCAGGTATTTTTTCGACTGGACCTAAAGTTTGCTGCTACGTGATTTGCGTCTCAAACGATGATGCTAACTTACTTTTGGTGCCAACTGGGCATAAAAAGTTGCTACAACACGTTTGGACTAGTTCATTTTATTTAATTGTTTTTCTATTTTTATGAATACGCCAATGTTTTTCTCTCAGTTAATTTTATTGGAAACTAAAAAGAATAAGAAAAAATTCTAATTTATTTAATTAGCTGTAATATTTATTGTCAGATAAAAATTGAAAAAATTAACTATTAAACAAAGGTGATATGAATTAGTCAAAGAAATTGTAAAGAACAAACAAAACTGCACGCTGATAAAGTTAATGTAAACAAAAACTAAAATAACCTTCCAATTTGATTAGGAGGAACCAATCTGTCGTTATCTCCGGTGATTGAAGTTGATGTTGTAGCTGCTGCTCCGGCTGCTGTTGTGGTAGATGTTGTGGTAGATGTTGTTGATGACGTTGTTGTTGTTGTTGGTGATGATGTTGTTGATGCTGAGCGTTATTGCCAAACTTAATGCTGTTCATATCGATGTTGAACTTTTTGTAATTATTTTTACCGTTCACAGCGTGGTTGTTGTCGTCGTTGTTGTAGCTGTAGTAGTTGTAGTAATGATTGTTGTGGTTGTTGTGATTGTGATTGCTGTTGGTGATGTAAGTGTTGTAGTTGTCTCGGTAAGCAGTTGGCAACAGAGTTATGTTAATTTCATGTGACCGCGACTTAAACTGGTCTTTTCTTTGTGACGTCATTTTGTTGCCGGAACAAGAATTCATCAGGTGATTTGTGTTGCCGTCAACTAGCAATATTGTAGAAAAACAGTTTGAGAATGTTGAAAATTTTGTTGTTGATGCTGTTTGTGATTGAAATTTATTTTGGGCTACAGTAAATAACCAGGATCGTAGGAAGTCAATTGAAGGCAAATCGTTGTTTGTGTTTAGAACATCCGATGACGATGAGTTACCTTTTGCTGTGGAGTTGTTAAAACTTTGGAAACTCGTTGCAAAAGTTTGTTGATGTTGTGATTGTTGCTGGTTTTGTTGATGTTGCTGACTGTTGATATAAAATGTTGGTCTCAAATATGAAGTGACAACGATTGTCTGCCCTATCTTCGCTCTTATCTGAATGCTACAAGCGGATGTGGCATGTGTGGTTGTGGCTGTTGTCGCCTGGAAGGATGTCGTCGATGATGTCGCAGTGTTGTATAAAATGTTCCTCAACGAAAGGATCGCTAAGTATCTTGCATGGTCGCCATGCCTGTTGAGACTGTAATTGTTCGCGTAATTGCCATTTAATTTGTTCCTAAGAGGAGGGTTTAACATTTCAAAAGCGTTGTCCAGGTTCATGTTCTGGACGTTGTTTATGTTGTTCGCGAGACTCCTGCCTATGCTTAGAACGTTCTTTGTAGAATTATTTTTATTTTTGCTGCTGTGATCATTTTTCAACATCACCGTCATGTTGCATGTGCTTCTGGAGACTGTTTGTACTGAGACGAAAAATGAAAATATTGTTGAAATATTGTCATTCATATACGCGCACCCACATCTACATACACGTATAAATGAGTTCAGTTTGGAACAATTCAAATAGGCAGGCAAAATGTTCGGTAGGATGGATAAACAATCGGAAAAAACACATGCACAGACAAACAACAAACAAACACAAAGACAGGAAGGGTGCAAATGTCAAAACAACTAAACGACAAACACGCAAAATGCTAATTTTTACTACAACAATCATACCAAACACACACACACACACACACACGCACGCACGCGCACATGCAGACGTACGTACAAATACGCAGTGGTCCGTTTGAGCTAATTGAGGTTTTTATTAAATTATTCACTTCCGTTAAAACTTTGCAGCGATAAATTATTTGCTATCGTCTTTGTTCTTTAGCATGTTTATGGTTGTTTATGTTGTTTGACTCTGAATATTTATGACTGTTTTTGTTGTTCTTATCCATGCATTTTTATATTTGGTTTTTACATTTGTTTAAGACTATGTTTGAGTTTTGCTCGACGGACGGTTGCTCGCTCCTATTGAGAACTGCAAGTTTGTATTATAATATAACATTGGCTACTTCTTCATCATGTGATGTAGGAACATGAAAGCATGGAGCTACTGCAACTCAAAATTTTTTAACTTTTAAATCATTTAAATTTTAAATCAAATAAACTTCGAATTTAAAAATTGCAAACAAAATTAAAATATTAAACATAAAAAACTTTTTTAAATGTTTTTATAGATTAAACGAGCGTTAACGCCATTTTCTTAGTCACGAGTTCTGGGTGAAATGGTTCGAAAACATGTTGCCCTCTGTCACTACCTTGAGTTCTCATCTATGTACCTAAATATCACTCTCACATTTAAATTGTCTAAAAACAATAATTCAACAAGAATAAATATTTGTTATAATTAAAGTATTCCTATTATAAGTGATTTATTTAAAAATTTTTTTATGCTAATTGTTAACAACGAAGTATTGGTAAAAAAACAAAGATTAATTAACTAGACGCTTTAAACATAAAAACGTCATTTTGCAAAAATATTTGAAATATTTTTATTAATAAATCCATCCAGGTCCAATAGTACTCAACATTTCTTTATTCAGTTTATTTTTGTTTCTGACCGTTGGAAATGCCACGTTGAATTTTTTTTTAAAGAAATAGTTTATTGAAGAGCACATTTAAAATGCAGAAGTAAAATTTTATATATCTGAGTAAGGATTTTTAAAAATAATTTTTGTGTTTCTAAATTATAAAATATTTTTGCTTTTATGGAAAGATGGATGGATGGATGGATGGATGAATGGAGGTTTGGTAGGGTGGATAAATAGATAGTTTCCTGTTTAACTAATTCGTTTTTAAGTCAAATTTTTAAAATTTTTGAATCGTTGCTAGAAAATGTCTGAATGTTTATTTGTTAAAATTTTGTTGGTTGTAGTTTTGCGAGTGGTTTTATTGTTTTAGTTGCTTTTTGTTGTTTAGTTGGTTGTTGTTCAGAGTTGCTCTGTTGTTTGGTTGAGGAGGAATTCATTTTGCACGAACATCAAGTTGATTTATTTGTCAGTCTATGTATTTCCTTGAATAATTTAAATGAGTTCTTCTTGTCTTTCCAAAGTTCTGTCTATAAAAATTTCAAAAATTTATGAAGCATTGTTGTAAATTTCTGAAAAGCAATGTTTCAAAAGCATAAATTTGTGTTTTTCTTTTTTTTTTTGTAGTCAGTCACACACGCACACACACATACACACAATAACACACGCACACACACACAGTCACACACGCACACACACACACACACAGTCACACACGCACACACACATGTCACATCACATGCTCTTATATGTGAATGAATGCATGCTTCATTAAAAATGTTCAGTTGGTAACGATTTATCTTGAATTATTTCAGTACATGATTTCCAACATAATTTGAATTGGTTGAAATGCCAAAAATTTTACATTTCAAAAAAAATTGTTTGAAAATAAATTTAAATAACAATATTATCTCAGTTATTTAAACTATTGAAAATATACGAACATAATTAGACTGCTTACACACACACAAAAGACATTGAATCTTTTAATGTAACTGAATAAATGAAATATTAAAACAAAAACAAAATGTTAGAATAAAAAAACTCAATTAAAAAATAAACTATTTGAAGAAAACTTGAATTTTAAAAAGAAATTTCAAAGTATAGCATAAAACTCCCACATAAATAAGACGCATGTTGATGCAGAGTAACGCAGCATCCAGCATACTAACATGGCACACTCATACTCATGAATACACATGCACACGTACACATACACAAATATACACACGCACGCAGAGACACATATACACGCACAAACCCACACATAATAACATATACATAGGCAACACGGCGTGTTTGCTATTTTATACCCCAATTTAATAATCAGTAATCACACATACATACACACATAATACATACTTTTTACCATTGTAACTTTTCTTTTGAATTCGGTTCATAATACTCATTTCAAACTAATTTAAAAAAAACTTCCAGATACATTGCAGATACACACATACACATCTAAATATACCCACTTATATACACGTATATGCACACCTTGGCAATTTTAAAATAGAAAAACCTCGCACAAACTCAGGCTTACACTCGCGTACATTAACACGTTATATTATTATGTCCACGCATTAAAATGCATTAGCACCACCCTCAGACAGACAGACGGAGAGACATACATGCAAATAGACAAAGAAGCAGACAGACAGAGTGGCAGAAAAACAGATAGACATCCAATAAAAGCACTCGAAACGCACCAAGGTGCCAAGAGGTTTGTATTTTTATTGTGTCTGCGCGTATTTTATGCGTATTCGCAATAATACAACAGCTCTCCGGCGTATTGTTAAATGTGTGGCCAGTGTTTGTTTTGTATCGTACGGTATTGTATTTGATTGCGTTGTGTTTTGTTCGCATGCGACTATGATGTTGTTTTCATGATGTTGTTGACTGTTTGGCGGAGTTCATGAAACTTTTTTCCAGTTGTATTGTTGTACAATAAAAAGTTTAAATTTTTAAATTTTTATTTTAATATTGATAATAATTTTATTACTGTCTGATGGTGTGGTGTGCATGTGTGGACTGTGCATTTTTTTGTTTTCAATAGTCACTCCTTACGTGATATGATGACGGTGTAAAATTAGGTCAAGCTGTTTGAATGTTGCACGGTAAAAATACAAAATGATTTTTGTTTTGTTTTGTTTCAACTGCCAATTCACATCTAATACTTTTTTCCGTTTGTTGTACTCACAGAATGTTAGTGTTTGTAATAAATTTGTTCCAGCGATTGCATGCAATGAATTTTCACAATAAACTATCTTGAAAACATTTTGGCTCCTCTTGTTTTTAGTGCATTTTAATGGAATTTTTTTAAATGAAATAAAAGTTATAAGCACGTTTTTATAAAAAAAATTCATTTATTGTACGAATTCCATATTAAATTCTATTGATATAAAATCGGCATTGGTTCTAAATGTTAGCAAAAGTATGTAGTGGTTCGACTGGACCGTACGTAAGTTGACTTAGTTAAGATACTATAATATATCAATATTAAAAACAATACAAAGAGACAGACTGTAACAACATTATTACATTGAAAAGAATAAAATAATGTTTTTAATAATGATAACAAAAATAAAAAAATAAAAAATTTTAAAAGATGAATAAAAACACTAAACAAACAAATAAATGTTTAAAAAGCCAGTGCAACATTGATTGGTTATTAGACGCACGTGACCAAATAATTGGAGCGTGATTGGATAGCAACGCTCCGTTTAACACAAATGTTTACTTCCGGTGACGTAATGCAGTCTTGTTGTGCATCTGTTGCGTGGAGCTTTATTTATTTCTTTGGTAAATAAACTTGCATATAAAACTTGAATAAATTTCCATAGAATAAACCTCAAATATTGCTTAACTTTTATAATTTCTATTTAAACTGATGAATTATGTCAACGTCATTTTACTTACCATCACCAACATTTCACCAACACTATCACATCGTCACCATTAATGACATCATTATCAGCATGATATTTTCTTAACAACCACTTTAAATAATCACGATCAAAAATATTAAGTCACAAAATTCTTTACAGGTTGAATGAAAATAATTTACAATTCACACACAGCCAACCACGCACTCAAACCATCAACCCCATCATTCTCATCACACTCAAACCATCAACCCTTCCTTCACCATCAACCAACAGACCCACACATCCCCACTATCTTACCGGAAACACATCGATAGGAAACATTGAGGTACGATATAAGATCTTTGGGACACGGCTGTATGATGCTGCGTAGCGTCGGAACCGGAACTGAGCATGTGAATTTGCCGGAACACATGGCGTCCAAAATAGGGCTGACGTCATTTGAACATCCAATATGGCCGTAGTCTTTCGCGACGCAGCGACCTGTGCGCATGCGTCCGTACGTTGCTTTCTCTATTAGTATTATCCAAGAAAACGATGACGATGACGACGGTGGCGATGATGACGACGACGACGTGTAGTTGACGCAGCTGGCATTGAATGTTTCGAACTGGCAGTATTCCAGTGCGGCTGTTCCCAAATGTTGTGCAAAGAAAATAAAGACGTCTTAGTTAATTTTCTCAGGAAAAATTCCAATGAATAATAAAATAAACATAAAAGTATTTAAAAATAAGGGTTACGACAAAGAAATGAAACGAGTAGTAACGGCAACACTATCCTATATGATAGAATGCCTGCAGATCTGTCAACGACGAGTTTATTAGATACACAAGAAACAAAGATAAGATACAACAACATCGAAACAACAACAAAAGAACAAACAATTAGAAAACTACAATCATGTCAACAATGACGTAAGCAATGTTTGATTTATCAACTTAGTTATCATCCTATTTTTTTCCTCATCTTCTTTCTCATCATCAACATCATCATCATTTTAATCAGCAGCAGCAGTAGTAGCAGCAGTAGCAGCAATAGCAGCAGCAGCAGTAGCAGCAGCATCAACTATAGAGACAATTTAAGAACAACAACAGCAACATAAAAAACAGAGCAACGTAAACGGCAACAACATAAACAACAACAGCATAAAAACATTAGCATGAACAACAACAGCATCAGAAAAGAAAGACATCATCATCATCATCGTCGTCCTCATCTTTGCGTGGCTGCTACCAACATCAATCTTCTTCCATTTCAACCGCCACAAAAAACAACGATACATACAAACTCGAATAAACATTTCTAACATAAACAAAAAGCATGCAAGACTAAGCTAAACAACAATAACAAACAAATAATAATTCTATTAAAAAAGCAAATTTTATACTAACTACAACTATTACTACTACTTTAATATTACTACTACTACTACTTCTACTACTACTACTTCTACTACTACTACTTCTACTTCTACTACTACTGCTGCTACTACTACTACTATACTACTACTACTACTACAACAACAACAACTACTACTACTACTACAACTACTACAACTACTACTACTGCTGCTGCTACTACTGCTACTACTACTATTACTACTGCTACTGCTGCTACTAATATTACTATTTGGAATAATGACAACAGGAATAAGAGTAAAAGTTAATGTAGTAGAAGTAAAATAACAAAAAGAGAGATGAAACATGGGCAAATGTAAAATTGATGACAATTTCAATAAGCTGTATTCATCATCATTATCATCCACGTTGCGTCATCAACATCATCGTCATCTTCTTTTTCTTCTCCATCATCACCAACATCATCATCTCCATCATCTTCACTATTTCTGTCGTCATCATTTTCGTTATCATTTTTTTCCTCATCATCGTCGCCATCATATTCGCCGTCGTCATCATCATCATCGTCGTCCTCACTTTCACCTTTATCATCATCATCACTTTCACCTTCATCTTCATTATCATCGTTATCATCGTCGGTCGTCATCGTCATCATCACCACACCATCTTCATCATCATTGTCACCATTGCCGTTAGCAACAAAATCATTTCATCATGACGTCATTATCGATAAAGCCAATAACACCATCGCGCTATTTATCGTTATAATCATCAACATACCAAAACTCTCCATCATCACCGTTATCACTACTATAACCGCCATCATCACTATTACCATTATCAGCATTATCATTTAAATCATTTAACATCCTCTCATTATGGTGTTTGACATCACCAGCATCAACACCATCATCAACATCATTGCAACACTAATCATCTTCATCATTATCGTCGCCCTAGCCAGCATCATTATCATCATCGTCGTCGTCGTCGTCATCGTCATCATCACCAGCACTTCCATCATCTTCGCTATCGTTATCAAGGCAATGCGCCCATTCCCAAAGCGGAAGTGACGAATTTTGCATAGCAACGAGTTCAATTGTAGCGTCGATAGCAACCGAGTTACGAGTCGTTACCATGGCAACTGCTGCTGCGTTTATCTTATTTTCTTTTTTTTTTTTGAAAAAAATCTCTGAGCTTGTTTTCTCTCGTGGTTTTTATTTTATTTTTCATTTGTTTTTCTGAGTTCGTTTATTTATTTTTTTTTATTTCGGTATAATTTCCTATTTATTTAATTTGTTATAATTTGCTATTCTTTATTTGCTTTCTGAATTTAATTATTTTAAAAGTAGATATACATACGTACGTTTTAAAGTCACATTTTTCAAAATTGTCAACTTGTCATCATTTTGTACAGCACGTACGAATTGGGTATAATGAAAAAAGAAACTGACTACCTCTATAAACTATAAACGAATGCCATATTTTTGATGATGTTAAGCTAATATGTGATGTGAATTGACTGAATAGATGTAGGTAGATTAATTTTTGAAACACAAATAGTTAAGTGAATTTTATATTTTAGAAGATTTAATATGGGAAATAGGAATGATGTTAAAACAATATACAAATGAAACATGCAGTAAGGGTATTGTCGATATAGTATTTTTACTTTTATTTCTTATTAATATTTTTCTATTATTATTATTATTATTATTAGTTGTTTTATTATTGTTATTATACATTTTTTGTTTTTCAAATTTTTAAATTTACTGGTCTAGATGGCTGAACGCAACTTAGAAAATAGAAATTTTAAAAATTGTAAATTGTTTAATTGAACACACACACACTCACAAATACACACACACACACGCACGCACACACGTACACACATACACACACAAAAACACACGCACACACACATACACTCACACACAAACGTCGTATGGTGTTCTTTCTTGAAAGAAAAAATTTTTTTTTATGTCATCTTGTGTAGTGAAATTTCATTTTTATCGCCGCTCGTTCGATGTTGTTATCTGAATTTTGATGCATGAATTCTTTGGGGTTTTCGATATTTTTTTTCAAAAGTTATTCTGAAATATTTTTTATTTTGATCTGAAATTCATATCTTTTCCTCTGAATAATTTGTTTTTGTAAATTTTCTACCTGCTTGTGGGCTTTTAGATTCGCTAATCATCAATTATTGTTGGTATTGTTTTGGTTTTTTTTTTATTTTTAACACACCCAAACAAATTGTCCTTTTATTTTTCACACCCAAATCAACCAGCCTTATTTTTTTCATTCAAATATTCTCCTGTAAACTAATACCACATCAATAAAATTAATAATCTCACAAAAATAGCAGAAAATAAAACTGACAAATACAGCAACTCTGACATCAGCAACTCACAACCGATATCACACTAACAACACTAACAAAAACAACAACATAACAAGACAACAACAACGAAAACACGACAGTAACAATCGTCACAACACAGTAATTTACAGCAGAGAGGTAGTTAGCTTGATTACAATTTACGTTCCAGGTAATTGAAAAACCCTGTTCTTCAAGACTGCCTGACAATGATTTGTTGATTTGAGGTGGCTTCACACGCCACACGCCGCTAATTTATTGTCCACATAAAATATTTTAAATAAGCGCGCGAACAATGGCGAATTTAAGATTAATTATTTTTTTTCACTGTTAATAGAAACGCAAGAAAATGTTATTCCGTTTTAATTATTTACACACACACACACACACACACACACACACACACACACACACACACACACACACACACACACACACACACACACACACATCTTTGAGTTCATATGAAAGTATGAAAGTTTCATAACTATCTTAACTGGTAAATTTTGCTTTATATCACATACATTTTACGTTCATTCCCTGGTTCATTCCCTATTCTTTAAAGTTCTCATTGCCGAAACTAAATAAACAAAAATAACAAATAAACCGCTAAAATATTTGTTAGCATAGCTATTTTGATTTTACTAATAACTAGTTTGTTTGTTAATATATGACAATTCAATGAGTTTGATATGTTTAGAAATGGTAACAACAATATAAAACGCTTACACGGATGCATGCATGTGTGTGTTGTGTGTGTGTGTGTGAGTACTACATTATTGGTGGTGAACCTCTTATTCCTGTGTGTGTGTGTGTGTGTGTAATTTATGTGTGGTATATTTATTCATTCATGTGTGTGTGTGTGAGTGTGTGTGTGTGCAGTATACATTATGTGGGGTGTTCTTATTCATGTGCGTGCGTGCGTGCGTATGTGTGTGTACTTTATGCGTGGAGTACTTATCCATTTGTGTGTGTACTACTCTATGTGTAGTGAACTTAATGTGTACTCTGAACGAAAAACATTGAATGCATAAAATGAAACATAAAATGTAAAACGCTTCGCATTTTCATTTTTTTCTGCCATTTATTATAAAAGTTTTTTTTTCAATAAGAACGATCCAATTAATTTTAAAAATTTTAATAAAAGAGAAGTGAATTTATATAAATAAGAAGAAAATCTACGTCATACGCCATCTGAAGAAGTGTGATGACGATGATGACGACGACGATGAGAATGTCAAAATACAAATATTAATAAAATTAGCAAGAACGTATTCATCACCAATCTTCATTTTTATCAACCCTTTGTTTGCTATTACTATTACTTTCGTCACTATAATTTTCATCGTCATCATCATCATCATCTATATCGTCGCCACGTCATCATCATCATCATCATCGCCACTTCATCATCATCATCATCGCCACGTCATCATCATCATCGTCATCATCATTATCCTTATCATCCTCTACATCAAGACCACGTCATCATCATCATCATCTACATCATCGCTAAGTCATCATCATCATCATCATTGGCACCATCTTTATCTTCATCATGATGAAACAAAGCAACATGAAAAATAAGAACAATAACAACAATTACAATGACAACAACAACAAAAATAACAACAACAAAAATTACATCAATGTTACTTGATTGACAAGAGAAGTAGAGCAAATGAACGATAAGATAACGACAGACTGTCATCATCTCAAACGTCATCAACCTCTTCATCATCATCCTCTTTGTCGTCATCAACAATATCATCACTATCTTAATTATCATCATCGTCTTTATCATCTTCTTTATCATCATTTCAACCACCATCATAATTATTGGCAAACTGTTCTTCATCGTTGTTATCACTTTACACGTCGTCGTCATCATCATTTTTATCGTTGAGTTAGTTCTCTGAATTATTCTTTACTAAATATTTAACATAGCGATGATGAATGATGACCTGTTACTTTTTATGGTAACACAATTTTTTTTTTATTTTTTTTTTTTGAAATAATTAAATTGATTTGATGAAATCATAAAATTGTTTTTCAATTAACCCAAATATTTAAATAATTAATAATACATTATAGCCACATTTCAACAAACACAACAGAGAGTAAGGGACAATTATTTTAATGCATTCTTACATTTTATGTCTTAGATTAAATAATATTTATATTTAATTATAAATAAACAACCGTATGTTTATATATAATACTATTATTACGTATTAAAAATTAATTATTTTTACATGTATATAACTCTACAGTAATACATACATTAGATTTAAACTTCATGTGTATATGATGCCACGATCAACAGTTCAATATTAATAATACTTCATGCAGCATATTCAACACCCATGCTGGTTTAATTAACTAACATTCGTGTTGTTATTCATTTCTCTTCTTTGTACAAAGAAAAGAAGAAGAAAAGAAGAAGAAAGACAGATGCATGTTTAAACTAACGAACAAGCGTCATAAAAGCAGAGTGGAAAAAAATCCCAAAGTGAGAAACTACAAAAATTGCGGAAAAAACTCCAGCATTTGTATCAATTAATTTGTTTGTTTTATTTGCGGCGCACGCAACATGCGACCGCGCGTACAACTTTTCTTTTATACTCCAGCTCCATCCCCGCTACATACATTCCTAAACTAACTGAGTTTCTTTATTCACTGCACGCACGCACACACACACGTACGCACGCACACGCACACATGCACACTTCACACACACACATGCACACCTTCGCACACGCACACACACACACACACATGTTCACACGCACACGCAAAGGCATACTTTTTCTATTCCGTGCACATCCAGATTGCGTACACGTTCACACATGCACATGCATGCACAGGCGCACAAACACACGTGATCATATCCTGATAGTGAGTGAGAACTTTCATTGAAAATAATTACAACGCAAAAATATTTGGCGATAACTAGTAAGTAAAAATTTTTCCAAACTTTGTAGAATGATTTTCTTGCTTTAGAAATTATTCAATATACAACATCCGGTTTATAATTTGATGAAGAAAACAGACGGCTGACTCCCACAACCTTTCCATGGAAACTAATTACTGAAACCGCCATCACAGACGCTCCTATTTCAAAAAGGTTAAAATTAATTACAAACCTCGCTATACATAGCAATACTAACGAGATAGATGACGTCAACAACACCAATTGGTATAAACAACAATAACATCGACTAACTGGTAGTACTGAACATTTCAAAATGAGTGGATGTAGTGGATGATGTGAATGGAGATGATGTGGATGTTGAAGTTTAATTCTTGTACTGATCCAGCAGCTCTAATACGGAATCATATTATATCATATGACTGCTTACTGCGGTACGTGCAATCACAACATGGATGCATGGATGCACTGACCAGTCTTCACTAACATTCTGCATGTTCATGTACGTACATGTATATTGCATGCGAATACGTGCATGTATATATGCATCATTCATTTGTATGTTGTTTCTCAAAACAAATTTCCACACAGTTGTTCCACATGTTTTACTACGTTTAACCCGCAACTGGAACTTGGAGTGTGTTCTATAGCTTCTACCTTGTAATTAATAAAACTACAGCAGTAAGGATCATTTTTTCAAATTTTCGCACATGAAATTGTAAAAAAAACCTCAACGTTAATTTTTACCGAAATTTTTGAAGAAGGAAAACCAAAAACATCAGGCGAGAGCTATTTTAAGAATTTGTAAGGCCCGTTATACGACTAAGATC